TTTTTAGCTAAATGTATACATAATAAAAGCACAAACTTAATATAAATAAAATTACATTAAAAATTCTTGAAATTTATGTTCGTAAAATCTCATTTGTAGTTTGGTTAAGGAAGGAAATGTCGTACAACAAATTCCCCGATTGTACAGCTCTCATTCTACAACGTACACTAGATSCCCTTTTCACCAACCACTGAACTTTCATCAAAAACACACACTGATTCTCTCTTTCTGGATTTTAATAGAGGAGATCTTTAGGTTTGGTTGATTCGTGGGTTCCAACATGTTCCATGCTTAATGGATCTTCCTTCATCTTCTTCTTTCGTGGGATTCATCTGTACATCACCTCTCAAATGTGGTAAACCCCATTTCAAGAATCAWCCAAGATCCAGATTTTCTTCTTCTTCTTCTTCTTTCTCCGTTTCTGCTGTGATTGCAAAGGATGACCAAGAAGACTCCTCCCATTTCCAGAAATCCAGCTTCGATTTCAAGGCRTACATGGCGGAGAAGGCTAATTTGGTAAACAAGGCGCTGGAAGAATYCATTTCCATTAAAACTCTACCCACAATCCATGAAGCTATGCGTTACTCACTCCACCCCGGAGGCAAGCGATTGACGCCCTTACTCTGCATTGCCGCCTGCGAGCTCGTCGGTGGAGACGAATAAACCGCGATGCCTGCCACCTGTGCTCTTGAAATGATACACACCATGTCATTGATCCACGACGACCTCCCTTGCATGGACAACGACGATTTTCGCCGAGGAAAACCCACTAACCACAAGGTTTACGGCGAAGACATGGCGGTTCTTGCCGGAGACTTGYTCCTAGCGCTCGCTTTCCAACATGTCTCCAGCGTCACCGTCCGCRTGTCGCCTGCACRCGTCCTGGCTGCCGTCGCCGAACTCGCCAAGTCTACCGGGATGGAAGGGTTAGTCGCGGGTCAAATGCTGGACATAGCTTTAACAGGGGCGAAGGACGTCGGAAAGGACCAGCTTGAATTCATCCACCAACACAAGGCGGGGGCGCTTTTGGAGGCAGCCATCGTAGTAGGGGCGATATTGGGCGGAGGGAACAAGACCCAGGTGGAAAAGCTTCGGAAATTCGCAAGATGTATTGGACTATTGTTGCAGGTAGTGGATGATATATTAGACGTCACCAAAGATTCGGTGTTAGACAAGATGACATATCCGAAACTGATGGGAATGGAGAAATTCCGGCAGTATGCGGAGGAGTTGTTGGCAGAGGCTAARCAGCAGTTAGAGGGTTTTGAATCATACAAGGCAGTGGTGCCGCTAGTAGCCCTGGCGGAGTATATAGCTTACCTGCAGAACTGAAACCAAGCTATTTTATTTTCAATGGGTTCGAGTCTTCTCCTTCGATGTTGTAAGATTGGTTTACCTGCAACRTGATGATAAAACTAATTAGCAAATTAGATTAGTTCCTATTTCCATTTTATGTGCTAGTGTGATAGATGGATCAAGTACATGCTCATGAGCATTTCGMTATGCAAGTCATACATCAGGCTAAACAGCTTAATAAAAGTTAAAAGGAAGTTTGAAGTTGAAGCTGCCAAACTAGTGATGGGAAGGGTGATATGATTATTGATGATGCATATGACCCTACAATAGGCTTGAATGAATCCATTGGAAGAAATTGCAGAGGACGAAAGATGGCAATAAAGAGATCCTTATATGGCTGTATGGATGCAGAGCACATACAATAGAGTAAACAAGTGGAAGGCAAAGAACTCGATAAGAAAAATGTAACGCCCCACGTTCTTATATATTGGGTGTCGTTACTTTACATGATAAAACTATAAAATTTTGAATCTGAACTTGAAATTTAGCTTTTKTTAGTAAATATCTTAAAATTACATCAAAGAAGAAACTACTTAGCGGAAACGTAACCATAGCTTGTATTACAACAAAACTTGCTTTTCAACTAAAACCATATTACTTTATGCAAATCCTCCTTMCTTCTTTCCTGAGATATATAAGCTATAAGCTTAATGAGTATTTATGGTTTCACGAATGAGAAATTTTCATGATATTTCAKATATGATAACCCCATTAAAGCCCTTGATCATGCATAAAAATATTCTTTATTATCAGGCATAAACATTCATAAAGTACTATTCTTTATCATGCATAAACATTCTTATGAGATCTCACTTTTCACATGCATGTATACCATACTTGTCTTGAGRTTTGCKAACCCCYGGGTCCATAAAATGCTGCCCTATAAGGTTCGTTTGCAAGACGTTACTTCTTGTAATATCCCGTACATTGGATATTATGGTTATACGTAACATGTAAAAAATTTCATGTCTTGTGTAACACATATGATAACATGTAAATGATTTTCATGTCTTGTGTGTATACTTGTATTAAAACATGTCATCATGCATATCTTGAATATRTATGTGCATCAATATTTTCATGTAAAACAAACATGCTAACATAACTTGTAATGCATAAAATACTTTTATATATAGCATGCATGTATCTCATAAATCACATAAGTACTCACCTTGATTTGCCTACTTTTCCCTTTGATTCCTTTCTTCAAGCTTAATTATGTAAATATAGAGAGATTTCTTATTTTTGGTATGCATAAATAGGGATTTAAGATAGTCACCCTTAAATCCCTATTTATAGATAAATTCATTACATTAACTACTTGTTCTTTTT